TTGGTGGAACAGGGCACTGAATTAAAAAGCATTCAAAACAAAAAAAAAGTTGAACATAACACTGGCCCAGGTTGCCCAGAGAGGTGGTGGATGCCCCATCCCTGGAAACATTCCAGGACAGATTGGACTGGGCTCTGAACAACCTGTTCTACTTGAAGATGTTCCTGTTCACTGCAGGGGAGGTGGACTACATGATTTTTAAAGGTCCCTTCCAACCCAAACTATTCTATGAGTCTATAAAAACCTTAATTTTTTTCCCCAAAACTAAGGTCAGACCTGAGAGAGCTGCTGTTCATGCAGCATTAAGAGAGACACTGATTTTACTCAGCTCTGCTTCCTTGCAGGGACAGCTCTTGGTGAGCAGAAGGTGCTGAGTCCCCTGATGTTGGCTTAGGTTTGTATGTCACCTGGGCCAGATTTGACCACCACAGGAGCCTTTAACGCTCCCTGCTGCTCATGTTCCTTGTCAGTGCAAAAAGCTGAGACAAAAACAAGCAAAGATGAGTCATTGTGTTCCAAAATGCTCATTTAAAAGAGAAAAGCAGATGCAGGGGTTCTCTTTACTTACACCAGAGCCCCTGGAGGGTGTCTGGCATGTTTTGCCTTTGGCAGCAAGACCAGAGAAGTCCTACCCTGGGGTTGAAGCAGGAGTGTGGAGGGGAATAGCAGGAAAGAGCTTTTTAGGCTTAGACTTCTTCCTTTTTCAGGGAGTGCTGAATTGGTTAGGGCTGCAGTATGAGGAGTAATCCAGTGCTAGCAAGTGTGAGTACGGGAAGAAAGGAGCAGACCTTGCTTGAGCTGGGCTCTCCCCTGCCCAGTCTTTCGAATTAGCTAAATATAAAAAGCATGTGTACGTGCCTGTCATTATGGAGAAGCTTCTGGAGGATCACATTGATATAAATAGTTCCTGTTAGCATCTCTAGAGGTACCAGTGTATTTGCTTTTGGGTTTATCAGTCATCCATGAAAAAAAAATACAGAGCCTGAGGCTGGAGAGCTGCAATTTCTTGCAGTTAACGGTGGCCAGAGCTGGATGCTGTACAAGGTCTCGCTTGGTTTAGAGCAGCAAGAGGAAGAAGTGCATCCTTAGAGCTGTTTTTAGCCTGACAGCTGGACTGAGCTGACCCAGGGGCTACTGCTGGAGGCACACACCTGAAAGCTGTCCTGCCTGCCCCCCCGCCCCCTGGCTTTGAGATCTGCAGGGCCCTCGGGCACCACAGGACTGCATGGCTGCCCCTGTGCCAGCTTGAAGCCAGAGCATTCCTGGGAAGTCATGAGAGGTAACTCCCAGGTCCCCCTGTTCCTGCCTGCTGTGTTTCCAGCCGTGATGGCTCTGCTGCTGACTGAACTCCGGGGGTGAGAGCTGAGGGGCAGGAGCCAGGCACAGGCTGGTCTGGCAGCCCTCCAGGAGGAGAGGGCACTCCACATTTGTCCCTCTTCTGCAGGAGTCTCTGCATTGTGGACACTGTGTCTGGTGTCCCAGCTGGGACAGCTGGGCTGTGCTGTGACCCAAGACATGAACAGGAGCTCTGCACCCAGCCTGTAGTTTGGGTCATTCCTCCTGTCCATGGAGTGGGATGATCCAGCGTGATGGTTCACAGCTCCTGTCACTCTTGGCAACTCCTGGTGTGTGACTTGATGCAGCTGCTGTGACAAGATGTGGGTGAAGTCATACTCCCAAGAGCAGACACATTTTAGCCTCTTCAGGTACCATGGCTTAACCTTCTGTGCCAGCATGCCTGTGGCTCCCAGCTGGGAGCTGGTGAGACCTTCCAGCTCACCCACACACAAGTGGCCTGGAGCTGGATCCTCTGTGCCTGTGCATCCTCTCCCTGTGGTTCCTCCTCTGCAAGGGCAGTGTGTTCACAGCATCTGTCTCCTGATGGCCCAAGCCACCGTAGCACAGGTAGCAGTCCCTGCTTGCTAAAGATCTTGCTCATGTTAATCTGTGCTCATGGCTGTCACAAAATTCATCCCTGCAAGAGAATCGAGCTGCTGCTGAGCTGTGTGCCCAAGCCCTGCATGGCACAGCCTGTGCCAGAAGGACCATGTCTCCTGATACCCAGCCTGGGGCTTCCTCCACCATTGGTCAAAATACCAGCTGGAAAACCCGCACAAGGACGGACTGACCAGTCCTTGCAGCTCCCAGCCCAGCTCAGTTTCCAGTATCCCAGTGTTCATCACTCCTCTGCCTGGAGGCTCAGGAGCTGCCTGCTAATTGCCATTCAAATTTATTCCTGGCCAATTTATGCTTACTTGTTCCCTTGTCAACAGTTGTTCAAATCCTGCTCCCCCTCCCAGCCATGTGCAGACGGGGCTCTTATCCCTGCTCCACTTGTGTCCTGCTGGACAGGCTGTGCCCTGGCTGTGCCAGCAGCCATCCTTGGCACTGGCTCCCCTTAGAGGTCATCGTTCAGTGGCCGTGCCAGTCTGCATGAGGTCATGGTAAGGCTGGTACTTG